AAAAAATACTGCTCGGGTGTCTTCCTCGATGTCGCTCAAGCATTTGACAAAGTATGGCACAACGGACTACTCCATAAACTATAAACAAACTTTCCAACCCCATATTATTTAATACTCAAATCTTATCTCACTCATCGTTCTTTCCAAGTAAATCTAAACAACTCAATTTCAAACCAATATATGATTAACGCTGGTGTACCCCAAGGCAAGTGACCTTTCTCCTCTTTTATATCTAATCTACACTGCAGATATACCTACATCCTCTTTCACCATTCTCAATACTTTTGCCGACGACACTTGTATCTTAGCCTCCGATTCTAATCCCACAATAACAAGCTTCTAACTCCAACACCACCTCTGCAATTAACTCGAAAATTGGTTCACACTATGGAAAATAAAGATTAATACAAAGAAATCTAGCCACATTACTTTCTCCCTTCGCCTAAACAATTGTCCACCAGTCAAACTTTGTAACCAATTATTACCTCAAACCAACCAAGTTAAATACTTAGGGCTCATTTTCGACAAACGATTAACTTGGAAAGACCACATATTTGACAAAAGAAAGAAACTAAACTCTAGATTACATTTACTACGTCCTCTCTTACTATCAAATTTAAACTTTAAACTCAAATTCCTTATCTACAAAATGTTGATCTTTCCTTTGTGGAATTATGGTATTCAAATTTGGAGTAATGCTGCCCCAAGTAACATACAAAAAATACAATCATTCCAATCCATCTGCCTTCGCACTATTTCAAAATGCCCCTGCTATATGTAAGTAACAAAACCCTATACTCAGACCTGAGAATAAATTACGTAAACCAAGTCACTAAAACTGCTTACCAAAAACTCCACAAAAAATTTAGCTCCCATAGTAACCCTAACATTAGTTATCTTGCTTCTCAACACATCCCTGACAACCCCCCACGAAGACAAACGAAAATGGGTTAGATACCTCCTCCATTAATAAATATTAAATGCCCAAGTAGGTAGGTCCATTGGGAGCCCTCCTACATCGTGCCATTTTCATGTTATGTAATCCTCTTCATCATTATTACTTGTTGAGCTTAATTGTATAGTTGTATATTTTCTTATTAAATAAAAAAAAATAAGTATAAATAAATCATTTAAAATATTTTATGACCAGTGCGCGGAATCGACTTATGGTCTCAGATTTAAAATAAAGTATGCAATTTATTCATAATAAAAATATAAATCGAATATATTACAACACACTACATAGCATACCTACTATTATTTAAAATCATAAGACCTCACAACACCACTAGCTAAATACCAGCAGCAATCATTGAGCAAATTTCTTTGTTTCAGATAAATGTAAAATTTTTTTTTCGTTTATTATTTTTTAAATGTTTCAGCATATTAGGTGCTATTACAAGTACGATACATTACAGAATACCATTGATTTTAAAATATACTATATATTACTAAATATAGGTAGATTTTAAAATCAATGATAATACATTACAATTACGATTAAATGTAAAATTTAATAATAGCCGATAATTACCTATTTTATATAAGAAGCAAATAGTATATAAATATAAGTCATTAGGTCTACGAATCTCCTTCATTTATATATATCCGTTGTAACTTTTTCGGTGACAAGTTTCAGTGTATGCAAGTTTGGACCGATTTTAAGAAATAATTTTTTCGCAATAAAATTATATTTTGAAATGAAAAAAGAAAAAAGAACGGAGTATTTGAAAACAAGGGTTAGGTCCATAATTTTAGTATACTAAGAATATGCCGCATTATAAAATTAATGAATTTAGAAAAATAGTTTAATCAAATAATTTAATTGGTTTTTTTATTTCAGCTTCATAATAGGTATTTTATAAGTTAAATTTATGTTATTGGAATTCTCTATATTTGCAATCTTATTTAGCAATATTAAGCAATTTCGCTAATCAGTTTAACTGTTTAAAATTTTTCCAAACATGGATGTAATAGGTTCCTGTATTACACTATTAATAGTATAGGTAATATAAAATATGTATGTGCGTATGCCGTATAAATATTTAATATTTAAGCTACATCTTTTAAAAATGTCATTGTGTTTGGAAAATTATTATACAAGTATCTATTAGTAATTGTTTCAAATTTCAGCAATTGATATTTTTTGAATAATCACAAAATGACCAAAATTATCAAAGGAAAAATAGTTATTATACGTTTAAATATCCAACGACGTTCAAATTGCACGGCTTTATGCCAAACTTATTTTAAACTTTCATTTATGAAAATTCACGAGTAATATGTATTTAGGTGTTAAAATTAAAAATGTTATACATTTTTAACCTGGGTAAGTACAACATAATTTGCGAAATGTCTCAACTTCTGATGTGTCTAAAAGTGACGTCAGTCGCCCCCCCCCCCAAAAAAAATAAATTATGAATTGGAGTCGCCTATTTATTAAATTTCGGATATTTAGACAATTTCTTTTTACATGGCGTGGTGGCTATGTAATACATAGTGTATTAGTGTCTGTATAGAAAAATAAAATCAAACCATTTCAATTATACAAAATTACGATATATAATGCACTGAATACATCACAAAATGTATGATTTTAATGCTTGGCTTGGCATTTGTAAATATTAGTAAGGATTAATGCTACAGCTGACAGCTGTCGATTGACTAAAACATAAAATAAAGTATGCTTTAGCTTAATGTGTGCATCAACGTGTTAATACGACACTGTAGAACCGATGTGATGATGGCAATATGATATTATACATTTTTTTGTTTAGATAGGAGTCATACAAATTAACAAATAAAAATATTTTTTTCTATCTGTATTCTATACAAATTACATTTATATTGAACAATCAGTTAAATACTTAAGTACATATTATATATATAAATGTTGTATTCGCGTGATGTGCACATGTTTTTTTTTCTGTGTCATCGTGAATCAACATTTACAAGCATATGATATTATATAATATTATGTCCTAACTTAAGCTAAATAATGTAATATGTACATGGGTTCCACTTTTTCCTTGATTTTATTTTTGTTTTCACAGACGCTTCTGAAAAGATGACATTGAAAATTTTTAGTATTGACTTCTCAAAAGTATCAACTACATCAAATTTATTATCTGATAACCACCCTATAAATTGGAAATCAAAGCATTATTTCAACAATTTATGGCGTATACATAAATAAAAAAAACCCATACACACCATTGAAAAATTGAATTCAATCATCGCTTCACTTAGAATATAATATTAAGTTTAAATGTATAAAATATATTTTTATAATTTTTATACTTTATTACTTTTTACTTTTCATACGATAGCTGTAAGTCACAGTTATGTATGATATAATTTTTTTTTGGTTCTAAAGTTTAAATTAATTTTTTAACCTTAAAACCTGATGGAATTAGAAACTAGAAAAGGTAGATCATTCATCATTATCTTTGTCATGTTTTTGTAGATACGATATATTAATATATCCATCCGATATTCCGATGGAGGATAACTGGTCCAAATCATGTAACCCCTCAACTGTTGGTTCTCTCTACTTCAATACTACATAATTATGTTATTATGTTATGCACTAGGACATTGTACATCTATAAAAAATATTACCTGAAAATAAAATTAATAAAATAATAAAAATATTCACACTGTCTTAAGAATAGGTATACAAATATATGTATATATAATATATATATACATATATATTATACTGACAACTATGATATTTGGGTTTTACAGGGTCGTAACCTGAAATATTTTCATATTACTCGACTTCGCATACCGCACACGCACCCTTCATAATCTACCATATACATAAATCTATAAAATAATAATCCTACATTTTTTGTGAAAAAAAAGTTTTGAAATATTTTTTTCCAATCCATAGACAATAATATGTGGTATATTATCATGTCCATGGTTCACGAGTAATACTAGTTTCATTGGCAAATATTCCACCATATAACCAAAGTTAAACCCGGTAATTTATGTAATAGAATTCAAGAGGGGCCAAGCCGGGTCCAAGGCAGTTAAACAAGTAGGTATATCTAGAACATTTTCAAAAACATAGGCCAACAATTAATAAACCATCGATTTTTGGTTACAAATGAGACGTGTTCATCTAGTGTTTGGCATCTAAAATTGTTCTACTTTTCTACATACAGTCTTCATGTAGCTTAATCCAACTATCAGTTCATACCTACTCGTAAAGTGGTAACTCGTAAGGTAATTATGCCTTTACGAGTGCCAAACACACATTTTATATTTTCGTGGTAAACTGTTTAGCGTTCCCACAAAATGTCTACAGGTAAGTCTGATGAAAATAAGTTTAAAGCTATTGATGACCGACTTGAAGGTATACATCTACATGTAACTCTTTATTTAATGATAAAATTGCTGTTCACATATTTTGAGTACGATGTACATTCTTCTATACTGTTTGGTATGACGTAATATTGTTTTTGAATAATACCCTAACTCTATGACTATATAAAATATAAAAGTAAAAATTAATGTTTTTGGTATTGCTTGTTTACATTTTATTGTTTTTTACTGTATAGATAGTAAAATAAATAATAATTAATAACGGCAATATATTATTTGTATGATAATAGGCTGACGTTAAACCGTCTCCTCTTAGAATCGTTTTTCTTATGCAATGATTTATCATTGAATTCAAATATAACACAATTATACAGTATCCTATTCAATGATGATGATGCACACTTGACTCCTATTGTACAGCAGAGCGATTACCTACGTCCCCTTTTGTGTTTACAGTCACGAAAAAAAATTAACTGAAAAATCATGCATGGAATAAACCAAACTTTTTTTCTGTAAAATAAACAAATACAAACATAAAATCTTATTTGACAACTACTATTAAACACATGTCAACATGTGAAATATCTATCAGTAATAAATAATGATTGAATATTGGAAACTTACATACTATATATAGATATATAATAAGTTAAACCAGTAATAGTTATTAAGTAATAGTTCAAACTGTGTTAAAGCCACAATTCCAACGTTAATCATTTTAGGATATATTCTACAGGACGTGTGTATGACAATATATATTTCTTTCAAATTAAAAATAAGTTTTTGAAAAATATAACTTATATATAATAGCACTTTTCAACTCTCACAACTGTATAAGATTTCAATTTCAAAATTTTCTTTGAAAATTCTTACCATGAATGTTCAAATGATTGCAGTCACTGTGTTTTACATGGTATGTGTCTAAAATTACGTAAACGTTTATTTTAAAAAAGTAAACTATTATTTTTACTACTAACTTTATTCACTATAATTGTATTACTTTTTACGTTACGTAGTAGTCACTTGCATAAAAATATTTCAATAATAATATTGAATTATACAAACCAGTGTCTAAAATTAATTAATATAATTTAAATTTTTCAAAAAAAAAAAACTGTTAGTGGTTGGGAGGGGGAAGAATTTATCTTTACCCTCTCATCAAGCCTGATGTGCTACCTACATCATTATTAACTGTACTTACCAAAAACTTAAAAGTGAATAATTGTACTAAAACAGTTATTTTTAACTTAATTTTAAATTTAACTAAACTAATATCAGGGTGAAACTTGAATTTTTTACCTAATAACAACATTTTGATGAAATGTGTTAAACTCAGTATAGTTACGATAATGCATTTAAGTATGGAAAATTATAAAAATATTTAAATTATCACAACATTAATCACCTTAGTACCTATTATTTTATTATAATTTGGGATAGATCATAGGAAGACTCACGCCAAAATATTAAATTAAAAAAAAAATGTTTTCTAAACATTTCTCAGAAACTTCAAAGGAAAAACAATGAAAATTAAATATGAAATTTTAATATTGTTAGGCAAAAAAAAAATTATTTCCTTTGAATATTTATTAAAGACTAGCTGGGGTTTTACCCGGTCTGCGCCCCGGCTGTATACACTGTATACCGAGGTATATTTTGTGATTTTTATACTGACCTTCCCCTGTTCTTGCTCAATATCTATGTTGGATTTCAAGCGAATCAGAAGAGTAGTTTTGAAGATTACAAGTGTGGAAAAAAGTGACATCCATTTTTATTTATATAGATTAAAATGAATATTATATTTATGTACCTATGTAATATTATTAAGTTAAACTAGTTTTAATTAAAATCTATTATGTATGAATCTATTTTAAATTTATTAAAAAAACTCAGATAAATGATTGATTAAATATTTATACGAACAGTGATAATCAAAAACCATAGATTTAAATACTTGATAAATTAGGTTAGGTTATAATCATTAAGCATTTAAAATTAACGAAATGATTAAATTTTATAAACAGTAATAATTCGAAATGATCCGTTTCCCGTCGGGACATTGCGCCATGGTCGAAAAATTCACCCTATGGCCATTAAATTTTTTAGTTTTTATTGTTTAATTCATTTGACGAAAAAAAAATTAGAAAAAAAATCAGCAAACTACATCTTATTTCTCAGTATAACAATATTTCCGACTCTGTAGTTTCTGTAAAAATAATTGTTGCATTAGCGTTTGTTAAATTAGAAAATTATGCTGCTGTTGACGCGTTGGCCGAGTACCTTGATGAAGAGTTTCATAATTTACTTGAATGGTTCGGAAACAACTATATTGGGAGGAGAGATAGAAATGGTAAAGGTAGATGCCATGCAAGTTTTTCACCTGATATTTGGAACCTTTATAATGGATTTTTAAATTCCCAATATAGGATTAATCACCACTCAAAAGCTGAGAATAGACGATTTAATGTTTAAATGGGAGTATGCCATCAGTCAATCTGGGATTTTATTATTTTTTAAAAAAAAGTCCAATCTGGCCATGATTTTTTTTATAATCAAAACAATAAATACTCAAAAATTAAAAAAATGTGCTGATATAGATAAAGACATTTTAAAAATATTACAACAATATGATAGTATAGACTACATTTCATATTTAAAAGCATAGCATAAAATATCTCACTACCATGATTATTGATTATTTATTATTGTTATTAATACGACGAAATATAGTATAATAAATGTATAAAATAATATGTATACATAAAATATGTTTAATTACATTTTGCGACAGTATTAAGTCTACACAATGTAAAGGAGTAAATACATATTCAAACACATTTAATTTAGTTTGTGTTTATAGTAACAAAGACCATAACTATTTTTCAATCTAAAAGGGAATTTAATTTATTTAGGTACTAAATGGATATCACGCACTTATTTATCCATCCGATTATGCGCCTATGTTATGCGAATGCCCTACAAAAGTACAATTCGATTTTATAGTGGTCGGAGGTGGAAGTGCTGGTGCAACTGTTGCTGCACGTTTAAGTGAAATACCCGAATGGAATGTTTTATTATTAGAAGCTGGAGGTGATCCACCCGAAACAACCGAAAATCCTCTTTTATGGAACCAACATCTTAGGACAAAATGTGATTGGTTATTTTTTGCAGAAAAAAATCATTTACTTTTTAAAGGAATGGAACAAGAAAGGTGCCTTATATCTAGAGGTTGTATGTTAGGTGGATCGTCTTCAATCAATGCAATGATATACTTACGTGGTACTGTAGAAGATTTTAGTCAATGGAAAAATAAGTATGGTTGTCATGGATGGGACTATGAAGATGTTTTACCCTATTTTAAAAAATCAGAAGATTTTGTAGATACTTGTAGATATGATTCAGAAATTCATTCACAAGGAGGACCATTGACAGTAACACCATTAGAAACATGCGATCAGGCTTATAAGATTATCGCTGAATCAGAAGAGTCACTAAATTTATTTAAGGTAAATGATCTAAACAGAAAAGAACCAGTTATCGGCTATGGTGATTTTGATTCAACCACTCGTAATGGTCGTCGATGTAGTACACTAAAAGCGTTTTTAATGCCAGCAAGTAATCGTCCAAACCTCTATGTAGCAAAAAATACAATTGTTACTAAAATTTTAATTAAGAACGACTTAGCAGTGGGAGTGAACTTCAAATGTTCATCAGGAGAAATTAAATCAGTTTTTTGTACAAAAGAAGTGATAATGTGTGCTGGACCTATAAAAAGTCCACAGCTTCTTATGCTTTCCGGAATCGGGCCTAAAGAACATTTAAATGATCACGGTATTCCCATCATTAAAGATTTACCAGTAGGTTTCAGCATACAGGATCATATGTCACTTCCAGTTTTAGTATTTACAGATCGAAAATGTAGGCCAACTGAAGACATAATAAATGAGAGTAATGATTCTTTGAAAAAAGAATTAGCTTTTTTTTCAGAAAATATATCATCACTTGGCCTTAGTAAGCTTATGACATTCTATAAATCAAATGATGATTTAGAGTATCCGGATATACAAATATTAAAATTTAGGATTCCCTTCAACTCAACAAATACTTTTCCAAATAAAATTAATGTATTTACAAACATGTTTGGATATGCTAAGGAAGTAACAGATTTATATGACGAATTAAACTTGTTGAGTGACTTAATAGTTATGACACCCATTATGTTACAACCATCAAGTACTGGTCGAGTTATGTTGAACTCAAATGATCCACTAGACAATCCAAAAATATTTTTAAACTATTTATCTTGTAACAAAGAAATAGAAACCTTATTAAAGGGTATTGAATTTGTTGTAAACTTATCTAAAACAAAAAGTATGATTGATGCTGGGCTTGTTTTAGAAGAGTTGAAACTATCAAATTGTGCTGATTATATTTGGGACACCCGAGATTATTGGATGTGTGTCATTCAGAACTTGGCAGCTCCTTTTTATCATATAGTTGGTGGCTGTAATATGGGTTCAGAGAATGCAATTGATTCTGTTGTTGACACTAAATTAAGAGTGAAAGGGATAATTGGATTGCGTGTGATAGATAGTTCAATTATGCCAAAAGTTGTATCTGTAAACACAAACGCAGCTTCAATAATGATTGGTGAAAAAGGAAGTGATATAATAAAAGGATGTTATGGAAAGCTTTGACGAATAAAACATCAATTTAAAAGCTTACAAAATTGTAATCTAATTTACTAGATAATAGAAATAACTATTCTTTGTTAATCTTATTTACAATTTTTTATTTACATTTGTTCTATTGTTGATTATTTAAATGTAACATAATTAATTAAAATACAATTATATTTCAGTTTTTATTCGATTCTTATTGTTCATTGAATTCTCTAAATTAATTTTAAACAAAAACTTGGTAGTTATTATTTTAAATCATTGTAGCTATAATTAGTGCAAATATTTCAAATATGGACTTTGTAATTCAAATAATATTAAATTTTAAAATTTTAATGTTTATTAATTGTATCAATGTATCATGAACAAATTATTTTTATTTACTACCTTATTTTAGTATAAAATATCCCCCAACTATATCACCTTTACTAGAAATGTTTCTGAATAATATGTAACTCATTTTTATACTCTTACAATAATATATGTAATATGTATTATGTAAGAGAGTACCTATCCAAAAAATAAAAACTTTCAAAATAACAATACAAAATATTAATTACACGAACCACTTTGTGACGTTCTATATAGAAAAATAGAATTGTAAATAATCATTAGGAATGTAAACTCCTATTTGACAACTTTTTAACACATGTTGACATGTCAAGAGTATGTAGGTACTAACTACTAATAACCATCAAGTAATAAATTATGATGCAATAATAGAAACTTTAAATCATTCGATTATCATATATCATGGTTAAATTTCATTCGTCCGGAACACATCATTATAAAATGTATACATTCATCGTTGAGAATCTAAATACGATTTTGAAAATACAGTTTATTTATTTCATTTGTAGAACATTTAATTAAAATATCTTTTTAAATTTGTGATTATGGATGTTAAAACAATAACAACCACTATGCTCTACATGGTATGTACTTATATATACATATATAAACTGTTAATTCTTTGTAAAAGAAATAAATATCTTCGTAAATTGTGTAAAAGTGTAGGTGCCTATATTTACTTAACTGAGACTGTTCTTCTACTAGTAATTGTCACTATAAAGTATAAATTATTACTTTTTAAACCACGTAAAAGACGTAATTGCATAAAAATATTTTCAATTTTAAAAAAGGTGGGTAAGTGGAATGATATAATCATTATGTTGGAATAAGATTCTCAGCGAAGGCGATCAGGCATATTACTATGTATATTTTATGTTTTTATTGCTTAATTTAGAGTGATTATTTATTGCCAAAAACATTGCATTTAAAAATGTGATTGTGTATATAAAATATAATAATATACTTTAAAAGTTTTAAGTACCTACACACGAATAATTGTCTGTATTTTCGAGGTGCTGTTATAACAACTTATGAGTTACCTTGCATTAAATTTTAAATCTATATTTTTTGCCCTAAAAGGTGATGACAAACACTTTGTTGTACATCTTAATTGTAGTTTCTGAAGTACACTATACAACTCACATACTATTCAAATTTAACACTTTATTACAATTTTGTCCAAAAGTGACCACATCTAACGATCACCACTGAAGGACTCACATTTGTCTACCTCTATCACTTAAAATAGTTTATATTTTGCTACATCTCCTAAAACTTACTGACTAAATTAATGCTAAATTCCGTGACACACTGACACATTACATACATGTTTACTGAACCTAGTTAGTAGTTTTAATATTAACAGTGTTTATCTGTATATACTATAATACATGATAGGTACAACATAAAAAAAACACACACACGCAATTTGAATTTAATAAAGTCAACATAAACCTATGTCTAAGATTTCTAAAATAAAATTGCACACACAATTTTTAAATATTTTTCTCTAATTTTGAACTTTTGATTAAACCTTTTACCTTTTTTGGTTAATTTGTAGTGTAGGTATTACATTAATTGTTTTAGGTACACATTTTGTTCATATAGTGATAGGTTATATTAACCTTTAACCTATAACTATCCAATTCGTGTAATTTTTACATTCAATATACCTACTAATTTATTATAATAGAATTATAATATATTATAGTCAATGGCAATCATTTAATATATTGATATCATTTTTATTGAAAACGGTTTAGTAGTTTATGAGCCCAAGAACTTCGGATAAACTAACATCCATTTTTAACTGTATATAAATCAAGCGAGAAAAAATATAAAATATAGCACTACACAATATTGTGCCTTGGTGTTAGTGTAAATCAGTCCACTGGCAAACCGGTATACCTAGCTTTTTGAACTGATTCGACCAAGATGGACAATTCGCCTGCGGTCCAAAACTTCTTAAGCGATACGATTACCAACGGTCAATGAACAGCATTTCATTTTTATTTATATAAATAGACAGTCTATCATTACCGTATAATATTTCATATTAACTAGGTAGGTACCTACTGTGATAATTACTATATTTTAAAACGGTTACTTATCTATAATTTTTATGTAAAAAAAATCTTTACTTGAAAAATAATTGTAAATTAATAATTCTTGATTAGCATAGAGCTATAGAATGACATTGAATACTATAATATTAAATTTACATTTTTTGATAATAGCATTTCACTATCAGTTAAATACTAATGTACTACATATGATAAATAATTAACATAATTAATATAAGTACTTACCAATTTTGAATATTGATATTTATACAACGTTTGTACACTTTCATTTTTTGTCTAATATTATAACAATATGTGCATAATATATGCTATATTTAAAACTTTGGATTGTTATAACTTTTTATACATTTACTGTCATTGTTTAAGGAAGCAGATAATAAAAATATATATAAATATCAGACGTATTCAATAAATATTTCTATTCTATAAGTAAATTTGTGTTAATTACAATACAAGCAATTGCAATGGTAGTATTTTTTTATTATTATGTTGCCATGTAGGCAATCTAACAGTTGTGTGACACTGAAATAGCAATTTGATATAATATGTATGATACCGAACCCAAAATGCAATCAGAATTCCCATTCAAAGGTAAAGATTAAAACATTTTTCTATTATAAATCATGTAAAATGCACTCAAAGATTTTTTTAAAAAACATATAAAACTTAATGTTACGTATCTAAACGTTTGTGTTGTCGTTGACAGTTGTAAATTTTAAATTATATGAAACATAAAGTACAAACAATTGTGAAAATGTAGCTATGAACACTATATTTCATAAGTAGGTACCATTTTGCATAATATAGGTTAGATCATAGAGAGGGAGAGAGAGGTAAGTGTTGAAACTTGAAACCTTATAGTAGTTTAATTTCTCTTTAATAAAAAGATTATAATATAATATTTTTTAAGCTAAAAGGAAATTTAATTTATCTAGGTACTCAATGGATATCATGCACTTATTTATCCATTCGATTATGCGCCTATGTTATACGAATATCCCATAAAAGTAACATTCGATTTTATAGTGGTCGGAGGCGGAAGTGCTGGCGCAACTGTAGCAGCACGTTTAAGTGAAATACCCGAATGGAACGTCTTACTATTAGAAGCTGGAGGCGATCCACCAGAATCAACTGAAAATCCTCTTCTATGGAAACAACATATAAGGACAAAATGTGATTGGTCATTTTTTTCAGAAAAAAACCCTTTTCTCTTTAAAGGAATGGAACAAGAAAGTTGTATCATATCTAGAGGTCTAGCACTAGGTGGATCATCTTCGATAAATGGAATGGTATACTTGCGTGGTACTGTAGATGATTTCAGACATTGGAAAAATAAGTATGGTTGTCATGGATGGGACTATGAAGATGTTTTACCGTATTTTAAAAAGTCAGAAGACTTTGTAGATATTTGTAGATATGATTCGGGAATTCATTCACTTGGAGGACCATTGAGCGTGACACCGTTAGAAACATTCGATCCAGCTTATAAGGTTATCTCTGAATCAGAGGAGTCAATAAATTTAACTAAGGTGACTGATTTAAACAGGAGAGAACCAGTTGTCGGTTATGGTAATGTTTATTCCACTACCATTAATGGAAGTCGATGTAGTACACTAAAAGCGTTTTTAATGCCAGCAAGTAATCGTCCAAACCTCTATGTAGCAAAAAATACAATTGTTACTAAAATTTTAATTAAGAACGACTTAGCAGTGGGAGTGAACTTCAAATGTTCATCAGGAGAAATTAAATCAGTTTTTTGTACAAAAGAAGTGATAATGTGTGCTGGACCTATAAAAAGTCCACAGCTTCTTATGCTTTCCGGAATCGGGCCTAAAGAACATTTAAATGATCACGGTATTCCCATCATTAAAGATTTACCAGTAGGTTTCAGCATACAGGATCATATGTCACTTCCAGTTTTAGTATTTACAGATCGAAAATGTAGGCCAACTGAAGACATAATAAATGAGAGTAATGATTCTTTGAAAAAAGAATTAGCTTTTTTTTCAGAAAATATATCATCACTTGGCCTTAGTAAGCTTATGACATTCTATAAATCAAATGATGATTTAGAGTATCCGGATATACAAATATTAAAATTTAGGATTCCCTTCAACTCAACAAATACTTTTCCAAATAAAATTAATGTATTTACAAACATGTTTGGATATGCTAAGGAAGTAACAGATTTATATGACGAATTAAACTTGTTGAGTGACTTAATAGTTATGACACCCATTATGTTACAACCATCAAGTACTGGTCGAGTTATGTTGAACTCAAATGATCCACTAGACAATCCAAAAATATTTTTAAACTATTTATCTTGTAACAAAGAAATAGAAACCTTATTAAAGGGTATTGAATTTGTTATAAACTTATCTAAAACAAAAAGTATGATTGATGCTGGGCTTGTTTTAGAGGAGTTGAAACTATCAAATTGTGCTGATTATATTTGGGACACTCGAGATTATTGGATGTGTGTCATCCAGAACTTGGCAGCTCCTTTTTATCATATCGTTGGTACTTGTAAAATGGGTTCAGAAGATGATAATTATTCTGTTGTTGACACTAAATTAAGAGTGAAAGGGATAATTGGATTGCGTGTGATAGATAGTTCAATTATGCCAAAAGTTGTATCTGTAAACACAAACGCAGCTTCAATAATGATTGGTGAAAAAGGAAGTGATATAATAAAAGGATGTTATGGAAAGCTTTGATGAATAAAACATTAATTTAATAATTCATAATAATTGTAATTTAATTTAGTTGATAATAGAAATAACCACAATTATTGAATATAATTTATAAAAAAATATTTAAAATATTTATTTGTCTATAAATTATTATCAAATGACGAAAATAAAATTTCGTATTAATGACTAAACTCATTTTCTTCATTGATCTTGCAACCTACTTATGGGTTTTGACTTTATATAAAAAACCAAAACAGTAAAATGTAAGCTAAAAACATTTTAGTTATATATAAGTATGACAATGTTTAGATTAGAAAACATAGAATATTTAGACAATATTTGGCATTATTAAAAATAGAACTGTTTTTGTTATTTTTTTTAGAATTGTTATCGGTTTTGAAGAATATATTATGGCATGCTTGCTTTCAACTAATTATTAATTTTTTCTAGAATATTTTAAAGAATCATCCTTCATATATAAATTAATAAGCTATTAAAATATAACATTTTTTTTTGAATGACAGTTGAAACAATTATTAGTGACGAAAATAAAATTTTTTCAAATGCTGATTAAAATTAAAGAGAATCTGAATCTAATATTTGAATACAACTTAAATATACATATAACTTAATATAAATAAAACTTTAAATAAAAAACTTTTATAGAATTTTTATTTGTTATTAGAAGAGAGTGTAGATGAACAAAAATGCTCTAACTGAAATCTTATTTAGACCTTCAGATAAAAATATATTGAATCTAAAAAAAAAGTAATTAAATTACACACAAATTGTAGAAGTTCGCCGATTATTAAAAACGTTTGGTCTATAATGACAATCGCCATTTGAAGTTGGTTTTTAGAGATCAAATTTGAATCTAAATAATGTACAATTTAATAATGTTCATCGACACATAAAAAACACTTTTTGCATATTTTTTATATTTGACTGTAAATTCATATCTATTTATTGGATTTTTAAATAAATAATAAAACATATTATATACATTATACATAATATCTATTTAAAATATTTCATATTTCAATGTTCACGCTGTCTCGAAAACATTTGGCTGGTCAACACCTAAGTAGCGACAAAGTTCTAGTTATCTTAAGTCTTAATTTAAAATACGTATTATAAATTTATATTTATATGTAACTTATATACATTAAAATTTAGAAATGGTCGAGATAATCCCATAGTTTTAAACGAGAAAGCTCACCCCGGTCGTAATAAAATAGATATCGCCGTTATCGATGTAATAAATTAAATTGTATAATACCTATATACAGTATAGAGGTTATGAAATAAAAAATTAGTAGACTATACTTTAGTTACAACCATCATGCTGGATATTGGCACTGACATCGTTTAGTTTTACAAATAAAATCGTACTAACGCAATTAATATAGGTTCTAATTTTAAAAAAAATGCCAAAAATTAGTTCTTTTATTTCTGAGTTTCTAAAATACGTGAGTAGATTTCCTGTGTAAACAAAAACTCAGAAGATTTTTTTCCTCAGACGGAGAAATAATATTTTATAATCCATGTGGAAAACGTATACCTAATTTATGGAAGAAAATCACAGTTCGATCAACAGATTACAGATTTTCTTAATTTAATTATGCACAAGCGTAATACACAGATATTGTTCTTAGAAAACTTTATTTATTACGGTTGTGGATGTGTCTGCAATTAAAATAAATTTCAAAAATAACAATTAAATTTTACTAGTTAACCATATCGTTCTTTAAAGATTTATGTTTTGTCATGGTTTCATCTGATAAACCTTTATGTAAATTTAAAAAAAAAATCATTTTGAATTTTCTTCTAACCTACCAATCTAATCCACTTGAAAGCATATAATGGAAAAATGAATTTGTTATCAAAAGAATATAAACGAAAAAAAGAAAACATTCGGAACAATTTTATTTACGTTGTAGTTGATGAGACCACTGATGGAAGGGGTTTATACATCGCTGGTTTACTTGAGGGTGTCCTAAATAAGGATTTTGCAGGGCACCCTTATATTTTGGCATATGAACAATTGAATAAAACAAATAATGAAACTATTAGTCAATTCATTGATGTAATTACTCTTTAAAATTATTATGGACCGATGAAGGCATGGAAACAAGCGTATTACTCGTATTGATAAATGCTGCTCTATGTACATGCTAAAATCAGGCAAATCTTTGAAGTTTGTTCCTTAGTTATTCCTGGACTTGAAGAGACAACATTAAAAACAAAATTAAATTGTATAGTTGATTTAGTTGCCTAACATAGGTAGATGTAGAACAATCATTATTTACTTAAAGTAGGTAAATAATTGTATTTAAATCACGTCAATCATGATTGAAAGTTGCATACTTGTATATACCTAATGCAAAATATAGTTTACACAAAAATGTTCATAATATTGTACTAAAGTCTGTTATTATTTATACTTGACTACTAGTGTTAACACCATAGTAAATATCTACCTAGTTAAATTATTTTCCACGAATAAATGATACATTTGAGGATTATTTCTAGTATCCACAGTATTTCACATTTTGCATTTAAATTTCAGGTCTTAACGAGTTAAATATATATCCCTATTGTATATACAATATTTAAAGTTTATTTTTTGTTGACTGTTCCTAAAACAATTTATACAATAAAAATCATGCGTATTGAATAATCATAAACCAAAATGTATTCTGTATCATATACAAATACCTACAGTCGTAATATCTTATTTGAAAACTATATAAAAGTATAAAACACTTGTTGAAATATGAAATAACTATTAGTTATGTATGAAAGAATATAATAAACTTTGTGTATAAATTTAAACCAAATACTGTTGAATGTGATTACGAATCACAGAGTGCATTACGCATTATAATTTATAACTCACTGCACTTAAATATTTCATAGTACTATAAAAGAGTCTTAACATTTTATGGCGATTGACCAAAAAAAATTTAAATAATAATAGAGTATCTTACAATGGCCCAAACGCCTTTGTTTCGTGATTATGAGTGGATACCTATATAAATATTTCGAATTAAACATAAAACCATCATTGTAATAGAAATTAACTGATTATTGTATAAAGAAATTGTTGAAACTCATCACATAATATAACTAAAAAATGTCTTATAGAATTTATTTGTATCATAAATACGTTTTATAATCGTTCCAAATTGAAACCTTATAATTTATAATATTAGCATATCACTATAGTAATAGTAGAGTGTAATATCAAAAATTGAAATACTTTATGACTCATAATAAGGAGGTTTTTTTCTATTCTTATTTTACTGTTACAGTTTTAACTATAAAAGATTAAGTCACTTTTGTATGTAACTGGCCACACTAACTAAACACATACCACATTACCAACTAGTAACTTATAGTACCCATTACAGATTTTACTATTTTTCATTACTCGTTATCATCTTTTGTACATTTTACATTTCAATACGTTTGGGTGAATCTCTAATGAACCATAAGACTTGACATCTAATTAACTATTTACTATGATTTTATCTATACGCAATTTGGTATATCATAATTTTATAAATTGGTTATGTATAGGTATAGAAGTTACTTGTGAGTATCAAATGACATTTTCCAACTAAAAAAAAACAAGTTATAATATGAAAAAGTTAACAAATGCTTGTGATCATAGGTTGTGTATTTAATGATAGATGACTAATGAGTATGGTACACTGATGTATAAGAAAATCATTAATGATTAATTGTTTTAAACATTAATTAGGTGCGAAAAATATTAAATCTAAAAATTAAATTTGAAAGTTACATTATACATGCAGTTAATCAAGGCAGTTCTTTGGGTAGAATTTCATCGTAAAGTATAGTTTTCAATATAGTATTGGCAATTTGTAGTGCAAACTCGACAGCAATCTCTTCTGCGATTGGAGTGATAATATCCAAAACAACTCGACGGTTTTGGTGGTAGAACGCTGATGCAGTTTCCGCTAAAAACATTTAAATACGTACACATAATGTATTTATGATTTCATTGATGTACAATTATTGGTTTAAGCATTAAAATTATTATTCAATTAATGAAAATAAAAAAAACAATTAATTTAAATCATCGAATAAAAATGAATCGTATGGGCTAGTAGGTATAGAGCATACTTAAGACGTCGTTATTTTTGTTGATGTTTTGTGGTATTATTTTTCCATTAGCATCTCCAACTTTGAGTTTGATTCGAATGTCCTTTACTTGGAAATATTCACGATTTTTTTTGTCCTTTAATACTTCAAGACTAGCTTTAACGTCAGCTTTTGTGTTAGCTGTGAATAAAACGATAATTAATTTATGAATTCCTATATGATAATAATATTATGTTTCCTAAATAAGTTGTGGTTCAAACAAAAGAGTTTTGTTTTATTGAATCATTAATTATTTACACCGTCCGACAAAGGTACTCGTTTTAACAATTATTAATAAGCTAGGTATAATTGTATGTAAGTCTTTCAGTTTCACGGCACGATACAAAATTCAGAAACATGTTATACTGCATTGTCATTTGCTAAGTTGACAATACGTCAATACACAAACTTCAACGACTTCATGTCTTTTGCGACTTACTTATGTTCCCTCTAAATATTCCTTGACCTTGAAGTGGAACAACCATTAGACGACCGTCGATGTCGTACGTACAGTTAACGAATAGATTCGGGAGAAGAACAGTTCCTTCGCCGTTCAACTTTTCAAAATTTATCCTGAAACAATTCGAAGTCAAATATCTGTATAAAAATTATGCTCGGTCTCGTGTTGTCATTGGTGTCAAGTTCTGTGAAAATAAAAAGCGTCTACCTCCAGTAATATGTAATTAAAGCTATTGCGTAATGATAATAGTGTTAGTTATGAGTTGTTATTCAGTCCAGTTTTTGCACCAGCGCAATTTTGTGTTGAGCAATTATAATAAGAAAGAAATGATCAAGATGAAGGATATTTTTTTTACAAAACCTATAGATTATGAATTGATTTTTTTCGACAAATAATTCATTTGCGAGGCGTTATTGTTATGGTAAATTGGTAAACTGTTTACATTGTTAAACATCGACACACTGTGAATACTAAATAATAATTGTGTTTACACTTTCACCTAATCACGTGTTTTTACTTTTTTCAGCGATTATTTGTAACACGTGTGTATAATATACCTACATTGTGTAACTATATATATAATATATTTTTACTGTACGTATATTATATTAAAAATAAAATTATAATGTTCTATTCAATTATGGGTGTACTTTGAAATGAAGAATAAAAATAAATATAAATTTGAATTACATAATATTATTAAGCATTTAAAGCCATTTATTATAATAATTATGAATCATACACACTAAACCTTTAGATTACCTATACATTTTAAATTGCAATTAATTTCAATTAGTTTGATTTAATTTCAATCTAACCTAAGTTAGATTCAGTTTACTAAAAATTTTA